TCAGACTGATTTAGTATAACAAAATACTGTGGTGGTAAAAGTGTGGCAGTGATTTTTTGCAGGACCATGTAAGACATTGAATTGTAGTGTTTTCCCACAAGAATATTACCCCAATGCCCTTAATTAACCTAAGATACCAGTTTAATGCATACATTGATTACATTGACATACTACTTTGGCAGGATTTTTTAGTATTGTCAGGGTTTCACTTAAAAGGAGCTTGACTTTGTTAACCTTAAACAGAGATTGTGCGCTTACAGTGCCATCCAGATTTGTTAATGTTTTTGATGAAATAGGAACAAAAAACAGCATCCAACAGTGAATTATGGACTGGATAATGTCTTGTTGAAAAATAGAAAACTTTTATCATCTGTAATCTTAATAGTATTGTACACATCAAAGTCTTAGTTATCATAAATAAGTAATTGATTTCCAGAAAGCATAAGGAATAAATTTATTCACACTCCGGTAGTTAATTTTTTGTGACAATTTTAAATATTGTGCTATTTGTTAAATATTGTGACAATTGTGCTGCTTCTCTGGCATAAATTATACTGACAAAATGACTCCTCTTTAGTGAATACAGTACACAGAAGTGAAAACTAAATTAAAGGGCTTTTAAAACAGCCACAGACACATTTCAATTCCATTCCATTCCATTCAGAATACTTTATTCAGAGGGGCAATTTTTTTTTATTTGTGGAGGCTGGACAAAACATTGACTTTTTGTAGAACATTGTATTATTTCATGATATAAACATACACCTGAAGACTGTAGCTCTAACATAATTGTTGAAATAATGGGGATTTCTGAGAGCAAAACAAAAATTCATCTTCAGGGGTTATAGACCATCCACCAAGAGGTTATTGATTCATGCTTTGTGGACTTCTAGTTTTGCTAAAGGGGTGACAATCCGGCTGCATGGACAAAGTGGTCCTTCTTTCTCTAGTGAGATGAGCCAAGATGTGGCTGGGAGGAGAGTGAAGACATAAATGGTGGAGGGCAGGTAAGCAAGGGATGCTGGGAAGCGAAATGTAATGTCTCTTTATTTAGAGGAGAAAGCAGGTGATTGAGTTGATGGTCCACTTCTTGAGCTCAGGTTCAGGTGATCAAGGTTTAAAATACTCTTTACACGCTGTTCCTACTTGATGTTTAGTTCAGCTCCCTATTGACCCATATTCTCAGATTCACACATGTTCTCCTGGTTCTCATACTTATTCTCCATATGTTGTATTCTTAAGTCTAAATGAAGAAAAGTCACCCAGGAAGTGGAAAGGGAGCACCAGATTGCCAGAAATCTGTGTCCAGCACAGCTCTATGTGCTCTGACCTGTTTACTGCTAAGCTCTATGTCTATTTCCTTAGTAAGACCACTGCTGAGATTTTTTTAACAGGCTTTTTTCTTGCTTTACACTTCGTTTTGCAAAATTGCAATTAACATGTTTACTCTTTGCTTGTCATTTGGTGTTAAAGACAGATAAAAGGAGATGCTAGTTCACAGAAGGTTCATTTTTGTATAATGTCTGGTGTCCTAAAGATCTGAAAATAATGTTTCTCTCTATAATCTACAGTACAAACAAAGTTACTGCATGTGTTTCTTAATGCCAGTATAAACATTGTTTTATTACTTTGCATCTTTTATAAAAATAAAACAAATTCCATTCAAAATTTAATTTTATAATTAGCAATGACTATCATTATACAAAAAGAATAGTTTCCCCAATATATCAATTCTTAGTATTTTAAGTTGTTCATGCCCTTTCAGAGATACAAGGTAGAAGTTAGGTGAAATTTGTATAGAATAAAGACATACATTAAAATACATAAATCACAGAGGACAGTCACCACCCTGCGCATGAGCTCTTCACCCCACTGCCCTCAGGCAAGAGATATAAGAGCATACGGACACTTACCACTAGATTCTTCAATAGCTTCTATCCACAAGCAGTGAGATTGGCGAACAAATTTAGCCATCCCTCTGGGACCACACTTACACCATCACCATCTACCTCTTTATGATTTCTTATCTATTGCACATCTCCAGTCATTGTTGACACGTCTGTATTGTTTACATTCAAACTGTCTACATGTTTACTTGCACATTGTCTACTGTTTGTTTGTATATTGTCTTGATGCACTGTTTGCACTTTGTTTTGTTTTTTTACACTTGTTTTACAATCGAGAGACTTTCTGTAAGTATTCCATTGCACCAGTACCAGTTACATATGGCAATAAAGTTCAAGTTCACATTAAATACAAAGTTATTTTTTTTTTCATACATACAGTAGGCCCCATCTGGTGGCCACAACTTCAAAGTGGAACTTAATCTTCCCTGATCTATAAAGATCATTCTGTGATTTGTGATTTTCAAACACTAAACTCTGAATATAATTCATGGAGATGCCTTCCTATGTTTGTTATTCTTAAAAAAATATTGCAATGAATATTGTTACAAACTTTGTTGTGCTTATGTATTTTGTAATGGATATGAAGTTTTTTCAAAGGGTCTGAATTTCCCAATTAATATTCCAAAATAATAACTATTACAGTATGTATTGCATATAAAGGTTTGGGAAACAGAATGTTCGCAAACTAAAACAAAATATGCATATTTATGCATCTTTAACAGTATTATTAGTGCTTTTACATGGTTTTCAAGTTGTAAGACAAAGTGAAATATTCAGGTTCACCCCAGTCGCCATGGACACCGATTGACAGGAGACTCCCATCACCTCCACGTATTTTAAGGATTGTTAAGGGCTTTAGCTCTGACTGAAGCTCCGTTCCCTAGCTTTGGTCCTGTGTTCTCATTGTCAAGTGAAAGCAACACTCTATGTAATATTCCCTGTCCAACCTAGGCCCCAAGATCACATAAGGTACATTTGAGTGAACTACTTCAGTTCTCCACACAGCTGAAGTCATTAAGCTGGCAGCATCTAAGATCAGTGCAGTGAGTCCTGTTCATGCTTCCGTGGCAGAAGGAAGCTCTCTTCCAGTTCTGCCCTCTGATCCTGGAGTTTCCATGGCTGTAGCATTAAAACACTCCCTCTAACTGGAGCCTTAGTAAACCCAGTGATCTGAGCCCTCCTAGTCCCGAAATACACTTTTCTATGCAAGATACTGAATCTACTGCTGAGTTCACCCCAACTGTTATTGAGAAGTGCACTGATAATGTTTTTCATAAAAAGACCCAGAACCTACCTGCTCATTACCCTCCATGAAATAACGGTCTGAATCTCTGTCCCCTGAAAACCTCTCTCTTTCTGAACAGACCCAGGGCCGCTGTATACATCATCTTTCTAACCTCCCCACCACGTCACTCCCTGAAACTCCACTCCCTAAAGATGTCTTGTTTTTTTTGTCTAGTAGAAGATCCTCCCGACATCTCTGCCCCTGACAAATCTTCTATGGATCCTGAGCCCCTGGTCCCACCCTCCTGTGTCTCTGGTGTTTCCCTACTCCATTCCCATTTCCCCTGGTACCCTGCCTGTCAAAGTAGTTGTGCCCCCCTGTACCACCCTGTATCAGGGTGCTGCAGTGGACCTGGCTTTCTGACTGGCTAGATTGCCTGCATCTCTTACGGACTGCTTTTGAGAGGTCTCTACTCCCCATTTTGAGTATAACTCTCTAGCTTGACGTTCATGTAAAGTGTTTCGCATTGCCTGGATTTTTATGCTTAAGAGGTGTACTGTCAGGCTCACATCAGGAATGTGCTAGCATTGGTGTGGCACCCAATGCCACATATTGGATATAATATCAGATATAGCAGATAAATAGAGAGTATGACAATCATGGTATCTTAATAATCCCCATGTCTTAATGACATGTATTAACAAAGAGTCCTTTCATATTGTATATTTTCATCCAATGAATGCTAGGTTATATAAGATCTTTGTTTAACCAAATATACATGTCCTGATTAAAGTCTGTGTGTGCCTAAACATGGACAACATCTGATAAATGTCTTTGCAGCAGAAACTATGTGTCCTTCTCCCCAGATTGCTTTTGTATTTCCTTGCCATACCTAGTACATGCTGTTTGACCTCCTTGCTCTGTGCTTCATTCTTGCATGTCTCATGGTGCTACACTGCTGTACAATATTCCTTACTGTTGATATAAGGAACTAGATAATAATAATAATAATTTCTTAAACTTATATAGCGCTTTTCTGGACACTCCACTCAAAGCGCTTTACAGGTAATGGGGACTCCCCTCCACCACCACCAATGTGCAGCATCCACCGGGATGGTGCGACGGCAGCCATAATGCGCTAGAACACTCACCACACATCAGCTATCACTGGGGAGGAGAGCAGAGTAATGAAGCCAATTCATAGGTGGGGATTATTAGGAGGCCATGATTGGTAAGGGCCAATGGGAAATTTGGCCAGGACGCTGGTGTTACACCTCTACTCTTTTCGAGAAGTGCCCTGGGATTTTTAATGACCACAGAGAGTCAGGACCTCGGTTTTACGTCTCATCCAAAGGACGGCACCATTTTACAGTGTAGTGTTCCCATCACTATACTAGGGCATTAGGATCTACATAGACACCAGGGTGAGTGCCCCCTGCTGGCCCCACTAACACCACTTCCAGCAGCAACTTTAGTTTTTCCCAGGAGGTCACCCATCCAGGTACTGACCAGTCTCACACCTGCTTAGAGTCAGTGCGTTGCCAGTTGTGAGTTGCAGAGTGATATGGCTGCTGGCCATACAGATAAACACCATACAGTATATGTATGGGCATACATGAAGCATACATCAGCCTCCCCTCCAATTTAAGACACCAGTTGAAATACTTATAATAGAGACACAAAAGGGTGGTGTTGTCTCCCAGCTCTTGGGTTTGAGGTTTGATTCTGGACTGAGGTGCCTTCAGTACAGAGTATGAATGCCATCTATGTGTTCACACAGGTTTGTATTGGATACTCCATGCTTCCTCTTTAGATGCAAGGCCCTTCTGTAGAATGACTAGAGTAGTGGCACATAAATCACACCTGTGTGAGTCAAATGCTGTATATTTTATTTAGAATAGCAATAAATATAGTAACACTAATAGAAGTGGGAGCAGAATATTTTTTTTCTTTCAAGAAAGAAATGCTGTGGGGGCACATGCAACATTATGCTGTGGTTTTTTATTGCAGTTTTTACAAGTTTCATCCTTTTTGTTCCCCCCAGCCTTGTTAGCACCCAACTCATATACAAACACAACAAAAACAGGCTTAATTTTTCACTCATTTTGTCAACCTCCATAAATAACCTGCTGTATCCAGTCCTTTGATGTCACGAGTGAATCTGCAGTATGTGTTACCATGACAACATGAGTGTCCCTGACATCATGCTTGTTGCTGTGCCCTGGCTGGAGCAGCTTGTTGTTGCTGCTAGTAACACAGTTATTTCCCTGAAAAAGGCTATCACAGAAGAAATGCACAGCGTCCCTCCACTCAAAACAATAGATGTCTGATCAGTATTCATTGGAGAGGTATAAGTCCTTAATTTATATTTTGCTTATTGATTATAGTTATTTTGTGGTTTTGAAGTGTTATTCAGGACTGCTGAATGCTTGTAAGGAAAGAAAAAGAATCAGTATTAGTATAAACACAAACTATGTATACACCTTTAATGCAACAAAGGCTTAGTGTCGAAGGGGCCTTTTTGCCTTCATATGTTTGGGTATATCCTGAAATCAGAGTTCACTAGGAAGGTCAACAAGGGCAAAAATAAGTAAAAATGGAGTACTATAAACTAAGTTGAAAATATATGACATGTAATAAAGAGACCTAAATTAATTAAAACAACAAAAAGGTACCTCCAACATAATACCTATGCAGACCAAAACTTGAGCTCCTAAAACTTTTAATCCAAAACCCGCTTTAAGATAATGGGTTATTCAGTCTGTATTTCAATTAATTTGAGGTTATTATTGTTAATTTGAACAAAAAAGATGTGTTCAAATTCTACAATGTGGGTGGATAGGTACATTTTCCTAATATACTGTATGTTTTGAAGAAGGCAAAAGTCTCATTGGAAAATACAAATCTTTTCTGGTAAAAAGGCTTTTCTAAGAGTTTAAACTTTTTATGGATAGTGAGCCCATCCACAAGTCTCTGTAGTTAAGGTTCTTAACATTGCTTCCTGCCCTAGGTAGACTTTGCACTCTAATTGTTATAAAAGCCATTACAACATTTTCATTTTACATTTATCATGAAAAAAACTTAGTTTTAGTACTAGAAAATACTGAGCCACTATTGGGCTAACAACTTGAATAATAGCATCAAACAAGGAAAGGCACTTTAGGCAGTCATACAGAATCTAACTTCCATTTCCAGATTGAATATTAGTCTACTGCTTCTATATCACTGTCCATCTTCTCCTGTGTGGTACATGGCTTGGTGTTGTCAGGTTCTTCTGGGTTACCATTAGAGATTGGAGGAACTGAATCGGGTTTGGTTGCATTAGCTAACTCTGCTGCTTCTTGAGAAGGCTTTGCACGTGTGGCCTCTGAAGCTTCAGAGTCCTCTAAGCTATCAGAACTCTCAGGAGGCTCTTCCAAGACATGGGAGACCATGAAGGAGGCAGCTATGGTCTGCAGGCGAGCTTCTTCAGCCTTCAAAGCCATCAGCTCTTTGGGCCAGGTTAATTCTTGAGTTAATTCTTCTTTCACCACTTCTTCTTTCTCCTTAGACTCCTCTCTCACATTCCGGACTTCTGCAATCTTCTTGTAAAGCGTAGTTCTCTCATCCTGCAGGGCCCGGCACAGGTTCTCAAGCCTCTGGATCTTCAGTGAGAAACATTCGAACTCTTTGTCCCTTAGAGCTTTCTGCAGAAATAGGAGAAACACAATAAGGGTTGTACCAGTTCTTACACCAGATTTTCTCCTGTATCAAGAATTGTGAAGTAAAACACAACATTAATTAAATTTGATTCTCTCCTACTGAAACTTGAGGTTTGTATTCTTGATCAGATTTGTTTCCTTTAGCGAACTGAGTCCTGAATATATATCAAACTTCTCACCTCTTCAATCATATCCACAAGAGCCTTGTTACTGCTCTCAAAGCGAGTCCTCCAGACGGTTGATTCTTTCTCTAACTTTTTCATTTTTTTCGTCATCTGCAAAACCAAATGTGAAAGAGAACATATATACAAGACAGCTCAAAAAATAAACAAAATTTACTCTGCACTAATTACAACAGGTGATTTTAATTTCAGTGTTGTTTCCAGGATTTGATCACAATCACTGCTTTATACTGTACTTTTGATGGTTTTATTACAAGTGTTTCTTTAAGATGAGCTTCTGTCATATTCATAATTATCGTTTAACATAACCTTAAACAAGCCAGTAACGTAAAAGACAAGTTGCTCATAAAATCATTGTAACATTCAGAAGGGAATAAAATTAGAACTGAAACTGCCTAATGACTTTAGGGATAGGAGAACTAACAACTGTTTACTTAAATAAAACAATCCTTGTTTTTGCTTTGTATAACACTTTTAGATTTTACTTAACTTGTGTCTTTTTTAATCAATCTATATTGGCTTTCACCAAGTACTACCCTAAAGGTTGGATAAGATTAATCAATAGAGGCAACTTCATGGACCTGAGTATTAAAAAAGAAAGACACTGATTCATGATATAATGTATTTTTAAAACATGTCAGCTAAAAAGTCATACAGCCCTAAGACAAATTTAAAAGGATCTGTTTGAATGAGCCTTTCCATGCTTTTCAGAACTGAAATGTGTTGCACTAACCTTATCCATTTCCTGCTTGAAATTTGAAAACACATCATTGCTCTTGGCTAATGACCCCTGGAACTCTTCAAACTTTTCAGAGTACAGTGTGAGCTGGAGAAAGATGGAAAAAATAAAACCTGAATGGAAAGAAACTTCAAGGAATACTAAAAAAGGAATTAGACAAAAAATATTTCCAGAGCACAGTACTAAAAAGACCACTAAGACCCAGCAAAAGGAACATTTATTAGAGTTTCATACAATCTTTGAAATAATAGCTTAAATCAATAAAATATGATACTCTGCGCTAAATGAAACCATACAGGTAGACATACATTAAATAACACTGTTGAAAAATTATATGTCAAAAAGTGAGTAATAAATCTTGTAAATAACTGACATAGAACATATTTAGAAATCAAAACCATGTACAAATCTGTATTCTTTACTCAAATGAGGTTCTTTACAACTTTAAAAATAAACTTTTTTCTTTGATTACAAATGTATAAAATGTAAAAACAGGAGAACAGTCTATGAATGTCTACAGCTCCTCAACTTAAGCAATTTACACAAAGCAATTGGGACAACACATTTCCATCTCAGTAGATGATCAAGTTCTAATAATGAAACGAGCCAGCAAAGATACAGGCATAGTATAATGAATACTTTGGTACTTACTGAACTGACAAAGGAAATGACAGTGCTGACCAAAGGTCAACTAAGACACAGCCCCCAAAAAAGATTTTATTACGAGCTATAGGCTGTCTGGATCAGTTTCGATATATGTGAGGTAAGCTTTAAAAGATCACTGACCTAAGGTTTAATGGTGGAGACTGGCATTTCATGATAGGCTGCAGAATTACTTAGCACTCTGGGGACAATATAGGAAGAATTTGCTGGTTATTGTTAATGAACCAGGGATCGGATGAGATAGCTGATGGGGTGAACAAAGGGAATCATAGCAATGAAGAGACTCACCAGGACTGATTCCAGAATTGAGTTGAAATAGTAAATGTAAAAATCCTGCTCTAACTGATCAGTCTTGCAGATTTTAAGGTGTAAATAATTAAATCATAAGAGCAGATAGAAAAGTCTGAGAAACAGGGGTATAGATGGGGATGGATAATATTGCAAATTTGGAACATTGCAGGAAATCACGGAATAGAGGAAGATTAAATGCTTTGAAAGTCATATCAACTAGAAAGGATTCGGAGCCACGTTGTGGCAAGAAAATGTCGTATGTTAGTATTTCAATGGAATGTTTTTACATGGTGAAGACAACGTTTTTGAGTCATTTGAGTAGAAAGAAGACTCATGATTAGGTTAAAGTAGAGTGTTTCTGTGAGTTTTTACAGAGAAATTCCCTTATTGTTATCAGAACAGTGCAAAGTTAGGAGGTCAAATGTGGGAAGAGGACGTTGAAATTTGAAAGGTTTCACTGGACTTTTTCCATGCAGACCAAGTAGTAGAAAGTGTAGACTGTGATACTCTGGAGAATAGCTTCCTGAGAGACAGTGATGAAAGACATTGATAAATGGATTCCAATTACAGATAAATCAGCATTATTGCTTGGTTCACATCTGGAAAAATCCAAAATTCAGCAATTCAGACCCTGAATTTCTAAAATTGAGAATGAGAAAGAAACAGCAATCGTGTTTGAGTACCCAGGGATATGGGCAGTTCAATTTATGAATTGGTTACTTGCGGAAACCCAGGTGAGTTTTTTCAAAGATATCAAATGGGTATCGGGAGGCAAAGAGCACTGCTGTGGAATGATGCACATAGCATAATTCAAGTAACCGAGAAGAGAGAAACTCAGGCGTTGTACCTGAGTGGGAAAGGTGGAGTGGAATTTAATAATATAGTAATGTTTTGTTTGCTTTAAGAGTTGTCTTCAAGAATGATCCCCCAAAAAGTAAACATTAAACCCTTCTACATCATCGCTGAACTTAAATGAACTGATACATTTGAAAAGAATTGAGTGTGTGGAATGGATAAGAAGAGTCATCTCAGAAACAAAGAAATGATCTTTTAAATGAAAGATTTTTAGGAAAATCCATGAAGAGCCTTAAAGTTGTGACTCACACCTAAAGAAAGCTCCATGGCCGAAACGTGGTGTTTTCTCTCTTCTTTTTTTTTTCAGCCTGGAATAAACCTATTACTTGTTCCTTTGCAGCCTACACATGCTGACGCAGCTACCCACCTGAACTATCTTAGTTTTTGTCTAGATATAATGAGCTCTTCTAATTATTTAGAAGAAGGGTGACATGTTATGAGTTTGAAGGCTAATTTATTCTGGGCCTATTGCAGGGCACAGAACCTGCATACAACAGGTCTCTTATCCAGCCACCTTGTTTCCTATGAATTTTTATTCACTTTCTTCTCCTTATGGAATATCTTCATTTACAGGCTCCTTACAGAGTTCACAAAAATCCTCTGAATGTACATTTATTAAATAGGTCACACTGAACCTCTGTCAAGTCAATGTCTTAGATTTCTATTTGCTGTCTAAAATGATGTCTTCTGCTTTAATTAGTCAAACATATTTTTTAAATAGTGAATGGGGGGTGTAATTGTTTTTCTTTTAGTTACGAACAGAAAATGTTGAGTTAATGTTTGGGCTAATAAGTTGCAAACTAAATGTAATGTTAAGCAATATTAATATATGATTTAGGTTAAACATTTCATTTTGTACAACCAAATACTACACTTATTTTTTTTCGGTTATTAAATGAGCATTGTACAGTATATACCAAGAGGCATTAGAATTGCAACAGTTGGTTCCATTATTTATTTGTTGCATTTTAATGTTTTTGAGTATCAGTAGAATCAGTAGATCAGTAAAATATGTTTAATATATTAAGATATATTAAGTGTTAAGACTTTCAAAACACTTAACATTTGACTTTATCACTTAGAAAAACCAAATTAACATCACAAATTTTATATTAAAATAATGTATTAGTTGCAACAGGCATGAGATGTGAGTGTTAAACATTTATGGTTGAAAATATAATACAGCTCACATTTTGCACCCTTACTAATGATTTTATGAAAATTATATGAAAGCATTTTATTGCCGACAACCACCGCTGTAAGCTGTATTGTTGTACATTTGATAAATAAAACCTTGATTGATTTTTAGTGCTGTAACATTTTTGTTTGAAATTGATTTGTATTCTTCTGTAATACCTTACCCAGATATGTACAACTGATTGTAATGAAAATCTTTAAGGTCAAAACCCACAAATCATGTTTTTTTTCATAGAGTATACAGAGTGACAACAAAATCAACATTGCTTATAGTGTACTAAGGATCAATGACCTACTTGCTATGATTGTTTTCTCACAAGGTGAATTGGAGAGCACCCCTGTGAATATTTTAAGTGCTTCTTATTAAATACAAATTCTGAACACCAGCAAAATGTAATTGTATAGGTTCCAAGCTGCAACATACTGTAACATGTTATAAATACAAAATTAAGACAATATAGCTTGAAATTGAAATCACATACTCTTGTCTGTCCTTCTCTAAGGTATAATACTAATATTCTTCAATAATGTATTTTATATATGCCCAGCAGTAAATATTACACTTATACAATAGCTCCTACCTATAGGTCAATTGCCATTGCAATTACAGTAATTGTGTTCACAGCAGGTTATGCAATCTAAGATATTTTAAGAGATTCTGCAAAACAGAATAATTTTATTATTAGCATTAACTGTAAAATAAATGGAAAATGTTTTCTTTATTAAATGACAAAAGCAAGCTTACATCTATTTTCTATTTGTGTTAGTATATGTTCTGTGTATTGAATGCCAGGAGACACATGAGATCAGAATGAAAACTGAAAATAACACACAGAACATAAACATTAAAAGGCATACCTTTCAAATAAGTTAATAAAAATGGGAATGATGAAACTGAACACCTTTAAGATTTCAAAAAATAAATGTCAGCAAATACTGTAAATAAACATACAAAACTAAAATGTGCTGATTGCAAACAATTTACCACCCTTACTTGGCAGAAGCACCTTTGGCAGCAATAACAGCTGCAAATCTCTTTGGATAAGTGTCTACCAATAGTCCAGAATGTTACAATTTCCACCACTTATTCTTCTCAAAGCTTGTTCAAGCTCTATCAAATTAGTTGGTGATTTCAAGTCAGGACTTTGAGTAGGCCACTCAAGAACATCCAGCTTTGGCCTTAACTTGATGGTGTTGACGGGTGATGTGCAGTGTTCGGTTTGACTAGACATAACACTGCATTTAGACCAAAAAACGTATTTTTGTAGTATTATTTAAGTACTTTGTTGCACAATCCATGTGAGATTTGAGATTTTTTAAAATAAAGGCTCCATTCTTGCCTCTTATTCGTAAACATAAGGTTTGACTCGTGCATTTTGTAAATCTTTCAAAGTCACTGTTGACCTCACAGTCAGCAATTTCCTCCTTGGTTAGCAGTTCAGTTTCTGGGACACTCTCTTAACTAGGAAGTGTCTGAGTGGTATCCTACAATTTCTTAATGACGAACTTAACAATATTCAAAATCAGTGTCTTTGTATTTTTTTGTATATCCTGATATTTGCATTGGCTACTGTAACCTGTATCCCTGAGTTGTTGTGAAAGTCTCTTGTTTAATACTTTAATACTGGTTGAATACTTGCTTAAAATTCACCTGACTTAGGGACCTTTTAGAGACACATCATGTGAAACAATGCTATTGCACTCAGAGGCCATTCAAATAATTGTGTGACTTAATTCTGTGCACCTGAACTAATTTACATTTGCCATAGCAAATGGAGTGAATACTAATGCAATGTATACTTATGCAATTAATACATTTAAAATTTTTAACTCAAAGATCTTTACATATATTGATTTTTGTTGCAACTTTGCTGACATTTACCTTCTTTCACCCATCTATGTGTGCAGTTTGAACATTTACATTGTGATTAAAATCATCCACATAAAATGTGAATATATAATTTATCATTCAACAGAATGGGACATGATTTGATTAAATGAATTGTGGATGCTTGAAAGGACATATTATACATGGGGGAAAATCCTTCATTGTTAAAGTGGGGAAATGTGTAAGCAGTCAATCCAGTACAGTAAGGACGTAGAAGTGTTTTGTCAAACAGTGGATATTCACCTGTGCCTTCATCACTGTCTCCTGCTCTTTCAGAAGATTAGCCTGTAGTTTCCACTCAGCAGCTTGGGTCAGTAACTGTGGTCAGATACAAAACATGAAAGATGGAATTGATGAAAGATTTCTCATTACCTGCTTCTTCAGCTGCAACTCCTGATCCCTCATTGCCTGGCACTTCTTTGTGCTTTCAATTGCCTCTTTAAGCAACTATCAACAAAAACAATTAGTCAATAATTAATCAAAATCATCTCTATGCTCACAACTTTAGCGGTTTTTCATAAATTGGTTGTGAGTGATGCAAATTTGATTTGCATGGATTAAGACATTTTTATCTAAACCAGATATCTATGTTTTAAATTGCTCACATATGCAACATTTCAGACTTCACAAACCTTCAAAATTTCTTATTAAAAAGACACAGATTTACTGTGAACATGTACGCCCTCTGTACCTCAGACAGATCCCATCATGTGTGCAAAAGAAAATGGGTGAGGAACCATTGCTTTCTACACTGTGGCACTTCAGATTTTAATGTCTCTTAGGACCTTGATGTTGATTTTTTTAAAACAACCTTAATTTAAAAAACTTTAGTTCTTCAAATAAAAGCCTAATGAATTGTGATAGAGTTACAAAATATACTGATGGAAAAAAGAAACGCAACACCTCCTCCTCCACACTCTGGCCCTCCCTTCTGCGTGGAACAGGCTGAAGAGTGACTCATCCGTGAAGAGGACCTGATGCCACTGCTGATGACTCCATCCTCTGTCTGGCCCAAGCCAGTCGGGTGTGACGTCTAGGAGGTGTGAGCAGAGGGACTCCTTGGTCACCTTGCTCTAAGGCCAGCAGCATGGAGCCTCACTGTCCTGTCACTGACGCGGACATTGTGTCTACCGACAATTTCAGCAGCAGTATGGGTGGCATATCTGAAACGATCTCTCAGATGGACCAGTCTGATGTGTCAGTCCTGCTCTTGTGTGGTCACTCGAAGGCGACTGGATCTTGGATTGTTGGTCATTTGTCCTGCCGGTCTGCTGAAACCTTCTCTGCATTTGGGACAGAGTCCATAGTGTCTGGCAACGCTGGCACATGACATGCCTGCCCGCAGCATGCCAATGGCCCTCTCCCTTGCTTCTGGTGACATTTGAGGCATTATGGAATGCACAGTAAACTGACTGAGTGTGGCCTTTTTCTTGCAGTGACCTAAGCTTTCAATTTAGGCCTTTTGAAAGGTGACCTGAACCAGGCATTGTTCCACCTGGACCTCATTGGAAAAAAATACACCTAATGAGCTTTCCTGAGATTGTCAAGTTGCAATGCCTTACTGCACAAACTGTATTGCTGGTCAGAGGGCTTCAAACGAATTGACGACTTTTTGTGAAATTACATAAGGTATAACTATAGTATTCTCATTCCAGAAAATGTTGTGTTTCTTTTTTCCATCAGTATATATAGCGATATTCATAAATTTAGATAGAGAAATATATATAAAGTCTTCCCTAGCTGAAGGAACCACCAAACCCGCTAGAAGTGTGTGTGCTAGACGTTTGCTGAAAATATGTAGATGTGTAGGTGGAGTGATGTGAGAGAGATAAACGAAGGGAAGTCCTTGGTCAGAGACTTGTTTTCATAGTCAAGCAGAAGTTTGCAAGATTTGGATGCAACCTTCCTCCCAAATGTTTGTTATAAACTCTATTTGGCATTGCAAATGAATTACCTGTATTTTCTAAAAGAAATTAGTAATGTCTTTTAATTTAAAAAAAGAAACAAAAGCAACAAAATGACTCACATATTCCTTTTCTCTGGCATGCCTTTCCTCTGCCTCTTTCATCTGCATTTGGGCCTGCTCAAGCTTGGCATCCACTAGTTTCTGCTGCAAGTCACGATGCTTGAAGATCTTATCAAGGTGCTTCAAAAAAGACAATGCAAATATCCATTGTTCGCAGACTGAAAACCAAATGCAGTCCTAAGAGAGGTTTAAGTGAGGAAAATCCCCTATAGAGATAATGATCATTCAAAATATATCAAAGGACAAATGTGTTTCACAATAAATGTATTATCTAATTATGTGCTTTTTTAAATAATCATAATCACAATCACAACTGATAATGTTCCTATTTCTTATTAAATGGATAGTGTGTTGGACGTAAAAGGAGCAAATTCAAATACTGAGCATCTGCAAATACTAGCTTGTAATTTATCCACTCACAAATTTAGTTGTAAAGTTCCAGTATTTCACCAGCAGATGGCAGATGTTTCCAGATTAAATAAAAACATACGCAAGGGATAAGGAAAGGACTTTTAAATAATGGATGTGAGTAAGGAAACCCAATCATTATTCACCAAGTGAAAAATTGCTGTCGGACAACTTCATTTTGGAGCTTCCTCTGTTTAAATGATTTAATATGATATTGAATTACTAGCACTCAAGGGGCTATTGTAAATGTCAATAGTATGTGCACAAGTTTGAATAGTATTCCCGCCTCTTAAGATCCTAAACAAAGCCCCAGTACTAAATCCCAGAAGATCCCACACACTTATGCTTAATTTCATAATATCGACTCATTCTGCCAATTATGTCTGATGTCTTAGTAATATGTCATGATTTCGTTCATTCCAAAAAGTTTATTTTTGAATGAGGTAAGATTTTAATTATAAAAAACTAAAAAGTCACTGATCACTGACATTATATAAGATTAACACTGTAGATCACGTGATAGATAGATATGTTCTATATATTGTGACACTACACTGAAGTCCTTAATTCTTAGATAAGTCATCACATTCACAATATGTGCACAGCTCAGAAAAAAAACAATCAATTTTTTATTAACAATGCTGAAATTGAAGTAATACCAAGATGCAATACAGCAAGGCTCGGTAACTATGAGAACAGTATATACAGTACCTCTTCTCTCTGCTCGTACTGTTCAATAATTCCTTTGAGCTTCTCAGCCAAGTCTGTGTTCTCTTGGCACAGCTTATTGTTCCTATCACTGTGCTGCTCAATCTGGGCCTGGATGTCATTCAGCGTGCTTTGAAAGTGAGTGGTTATCTCCTTGCGTTTCTCCTCATCTTCTCGACATCGTTGCAGTGTTTCCTCCTTTAACCAGATGGAAAAAGATCAGAGTTTTTTGTCTTCCTTTTCACTTTGCCTCAGAGCTTTTTAACCCAGTTCATAAAAGGTACCTAATAAGGAAGACATTATTATTGACTTAGTCTTTTTAAGCAGACATGATATAATTAAAGGAGTAGATAGAATATCTGGGAAGTGTGACCATAATACAGTAACTTTCAAAGCATAGTTAAAATCTCTAAAACTTCAGTCTAAAATGATGGTTCATAACTTTAGAAAGGTGATGAAGGAATGATGAACATTAGTGAGCGTGGAATAGATGGATTCAGAGTAAATAGCATGGTTATGCTTCAAAAATAATGTTAAAGGCTAAAAAAAAACAAATTAATACCAATGAAGGCACACTTGTAAAAATATAATAGAATTGCCATTGGAGATGATAACATTGTAAAGAATGCAAAACATAATGCATAAAAGTACTGACCAATAAAATAATAATTTAATTATTTAGATTATATAGTATATTGTATATATACTCAAATATATTGAGTATATAGTTTAATAAACAGTTTCCTAAATAATAAGGGATTAATAACAGAAGATGCAAAAGAAATGCAAGATGCACTAAATCAACATTTCACTTGTTTTTATAACAGATATTTTCCAAGTCATATTTAGAAAATTAATGCATGTTATTCATAGACCAACTCACTTAGGAGCTGTAACTAAGGATTAGAGAATTGCACATGTAACACCAATTCATTAAAAGGAACACATACTGTAAATGAACCAGGAAACTACAGGCCAATCTGACTTATTTCTATTACTGTGAAAATTGTGGAAAATATATTTAGAGTTGATTTAGAAGTATACAACGCTGAGGCATTGAACAAAATATATTTAGATTTCCTGACAGCTTTTGTCCTTCAGAAAAAAAGTGATTCTCAAATTCAAAGCCATAGAATTTGAGATAATGTCTCCACATGAGCTGAGAATTAGTTAATGGACAATGAACAATGTGTCATCTTAAGATACATATCCTTAAGTGAAATGTTTTATATTACTTTACATGTGTTTAAGCTGATACCTGAAATGTTCATCTTTCAAGAAACAGCTGGATGATCTCCTCAGATCAATTAGCTACAGTATTTACAATCAAATTAGCTGAACAGCTTTTGAATTACCAAGTTTCAATGGCTTCCTATCACTATCCTTTCTTATTTTTTAAATGTTTTGAATACTTCTTTTTTATAGACCATTTACTGTACAACACAGCAGCTTTCTCTGGATTGATTCTTATTGTTTATATTGGCTTACTGCTTTTACACCCAAGTGATACCAATTTTGTGCTTGTCTATGCAATAATGACAAAAATGAATTCCAAACTGAGACAATTGCACCTGTTCATCACATCAAAATATGATATAATGAATTTAATACAGAGAAAAGTGGAGTCACGAAGCCACACAGAAAAATAAATGTTTGTCTAACGGTTGTTGACCATTGACCCAGCCTCGGAAAAAGATTAAATGGTTGATCATGCTAACAAGAAGTGAAATGGACAATGTTCCTCAGGTAAAATGGTCAGATGGTCAGAAATGTCAAGTTTGCAGAGCATGACTGTCAAATTAACCTGATCAAATATAGAAGGGCAAGGATTATTATAAGCATTAAAATATCAGCTGTTTAGTCAGTGTTTATGAAGTAGGTAAATCAAAGATGTATTTTTCTGTTATAGTGCTGTATAAAGATAAAACAGCTTATTTCTTTCTGGTAGTTTTAATGTATATACAAAGAAAGTAGGTAAAAATAATAATCATAAAAATAATCATTAATCATAAAAAAGTGAAGGAAAATGACATCTCACAGTGAAATAAAAAGTGTGCCACAAAACAAAAAGGAAAAAGTATTCTTCAGTTTAGAGATGTCTCCAGGATCTCAAAAATAAGAATGGCAGCAAAGAAATTTCTGTTTTTCTGGTTGACTGTGTGGCACACAGGTTATCCTATGAACAGACTTTAGTAGCAGATGACCTGCCACTAGAAGTAACCAAAGGCTCTCTGACAATTGTAAACAGGCTCACTAGGTAATAATTAGATAATTATTAGATTTTTGGAGTAGGATTATTCTCCACATTTTCACATGAACTTAGTTTTGTTTCAAATGGGGCTTGTACAGTATTAGTGGTAGTCATTTTTTAAGAAGCATTTAGTTCAAGTGAGAAAGGTAGACATGCATTTAAAGCAGAAGAGAAGCCACTTATTTACCCATTAGGTGTGAGTATACAACAAGCTACCCAGCCATGATGTTGAAGCTGATACCGTGGCTCTTTCCAAGAAATGGTTGGATTAGATCCTTGCTGCAGTTAAGCAACCACAAAATGGCCTAGATGGGCCTCCTCTGGTTTGTATAGAGAATTGGTTTTCTGATGTCCTTTGGATGCAATACCTGGTACTCTGCAATAAAGCCCTCTGTACCTTACTCAGATTTTGATTTTTGTGCATCTTAGCAAAGGGTGGGGGCCTGTGACAGACTGAATTCATTAAACTTATATAGGAAAGAGATTGTGGTAACTGCTAGTGCCACTTGGTCAAATGCGCTATCACATTTATAAGACTGTATTAATATGTTCTTTAAAATTACTTTAAACATGCACAAATGGTAGTTCTAACACCTAAACATAAAGTGGTACAGATTTATGGCATTTGGCATATGGCATTAAGGTATTTAAGAATGTGTTTTTCTAGTGATAAAACATGTCTCTTAATATATCTTAAACCAATCCAACACTGGGTCTTTCCAACATTTTTTTTATGATGAATGCATTAAAGAGGAACAACATTTATACTGCCTGTATGCATTTGCTGCAATTTAACACTTACAACATACTAACTGATACTTCCATTCTTTTTAAATTATCCTAGTAACGGTAACATGAATTATGATATAGGAGGCCTTGTAAAAGTACTTAGACACTAACACAGTTTTCATATTTTGTGACTTTAAAGCTTGTAGTCATGACACTTTGATTTTGCTGTTAATGTTTATTATGTACACAACTTACTCCACACATTCAAAGACAAAAACATTAAAAAAGAAGTAAATAGATCATTAATATGAAAGAAAATTGGAAAAGTCATGATCGCATAAGTATTCAAACCCTTTGCTGTGGCAAACCCTCTTCTTTAGAAAAGCCTTTAGTTAACTGGTTCCATTCTTCACCCCTCTGCTTTTCTTAGTACAACCATCCACAGTCTCCTCTGTATATTGTAATTGTGTATTATTTTTATTTATTGTTGTTGTCATTCTGTAAAGCGCTTTGAGAAGCCACCTTTAAATGCGCTATATAAAATAAAGTTTATTATTATTATTAAAGCTAAATTAATATACAGTAAGTGCACAATATTATTTTAATGAGCCACATACTTAGTTGAGTGACCTCTATGTTTGTGCAATTACAGAGATTCTTGTCATTTCAGAAAAAAACACCTGTATCTGTGAGCTTACTTGAATACTAAGGAGCTTTCAAAGCAATTCATGGATAGTGTTTGAACACAACACATCAGAAGGGGTACAAAAATATCCCTGTGAGCACAGTCTACTACATCATTAACAACTGGCAGGTGCATTGTAATGACAATTTACTGAAATTGTTCAATGGTTTAGAGTCAGTGGCTAAGATGAGAGAAAATGTATATCATACAACAATCTGTACTGAATGGCAGAGTGGAAAACCTATCCCATTGTAAAAATGTGGCAAAAGATGTTGTGGTCAGGTGAGACCAAACTGGAAACTTATAGTTATGGGTGGCAGTGACCCAAAAAGTTACATCTCCCAGCTAACACTATCCCTACAGTAAAACATGGTGGTGGCATCATCATACTATGGGGATGCTTCCCAGCCTCTTCTTCTCTCCAGCAGGGGCCAGATGGTAAGCAAGGTAGAGGCAAGTCCTAGAGGTCCTAGAGGAAAACCTGTTTCAGTCTGCTAAATACTTAAAACTGGGGTGAAAATTCACCTTTAAGTAGGATAATGATCCAAAATGCAAGGTCAAAACTATACTGGAGTAGCTTATCAAGAAGAAAGTGAATGTCCTTGAGTGGTCCAGTCAAAGTCCCAATTGAATCCTACTGAGTATCTATAGAAATACTTGAAAACTACTGTTCATTAGCAATCTCCAAACAACTTGAGAGAACTGGAACAAATCTGCCAAGAAGAATGGGCAAAGAGTAGACAAAACTGGTGTGCAAAGTTGTTATTTACTGTACCTGAAATGACTTGTGTCTGTAATTGCTGCCAAAGATGCTTCCAACCAAATACTCAATTTACAGGTCTGAGTGCTTATGCAACCAACCAATTTAATTTTTTTCTCTTTAGATGTTAGTGACGTTTATTTTAATATATTTTACCCTTATGAATCTTTCATATGAACAAGTAATATTTTGAATAAAATACTAAGTTTAAAAAATCTGGGGGGATTTCACAAAAATGAGACAGGGAGTGTCTGAATATGTTTGCAGGATGTTGTATTTAAAATTGTACTGTATATCTAGCAAAACAAATATCAGTCTATAAATGAGCTTATTTTAATGCACTGCTAAGTATTTTCTCATCTTGCTCCTCATACATATTCAAATGGCGTACGCACAGTTTCACAAATTGTGCTATAGTTTTACATCACAAGCTATTAACCTACATACTGTACGTTACAAGTCCTCCATCCAGCAGTTTGAAACAGCTCTATAGTTTCCCGCAGCAGTTTATAAAGACAGGATGGGAAAATGTACACAAAACTGTATAACCTCATGAGAAATCCCATAATAATCTGAACATTGGAAGACCTTTGCAATACTTGAAATTATGAATACTAGAGCATGAGCAACATGGTATGAAAATCTAAAAGCAAGGTTATAGAGTCAAGTTATTTAACTAAATCGAGTTAGAAAGGGTGTGCTTATCTTGTGACCTATCTTCAGGGCTTTGTTTTGCTTCTTGATTTATGTGCAGAGGGCAGATGCCACAAAGCCCTAATGAAACCATCCCTCTTGTCTCTGACGTGTGTCACAAGTGCTGCGATTCTTAACTGCTCTTCACTGAAGGCTGACTGTGAATCACAGAGAGCCCTGCTCTAGGAAAGCATAGAAGGACTGAAAAGAAGGACAGTCAGTGTCTGTGATAAAAAAGTGTTTCTGGTAAGAACACGAGGAAAAGACAGATAGCTTGTGGGTTATCAAGCTCTTTCAGTGCACCTTGAAGATAATGCAGTGGTACAATTTGACTGAGCAATACCTCAATCGTTTCCTCGCAGTGAAAGACTGCAAAATAACAAATATTGAATACTATTAGTTACAGTAAATCAGGGAACACCAACTTAAAAGGCAAACATTGATGGACAAGATTTAATGAATATGCTTCCACTAACTTTTCAAATATGCAAGGCATCCCTAATCATTTCTGAAACCAGTGTAAATGTCAGCAGGAAACATTACAAATAGACTACATTTTAAGGTTTGCAGAGAATTGCCAATGTGTGCCTGAATCGGCCATATAAAGACCATATCCATTGCCAAAATCAAATATCTCCACATCATCTGACATGTTTGAATGGTCTGGCATTGACCAGCTTAATTGCCATGAGAGACAAAGAAAAGGGCTAGGTAATGTGGGTAAGAGAAAGATTAATGGGTGAAAATGACAGAGGATGTAAGATAGGTACTGTATCTGAAGCTCAAACTATCCTGAGGTGTGAACTTCACTTTGGTTGTGTGAGGAATGCAGCATTTCTCAACCCCTGCTGGGATTCCATCACAGTCACTTGTGGGCTCAGAGTATGCACAGTACCACTACCTTAGCAGCAGCTAAAACATCTTAAATGACAGGGTCTTCTGCAGAGGCAGTTTCAAGGGGGTGACATCATTTCTGTAACATGCTTACTGTACAGAGCCCATTTACAGATGCAAAACATTTTTTTGCCATTTATCTAATAATAGGCTTTTCCCAAACTAACTACAGATCTAGCAGCTTTTATGGTAGACAAGAATAACAACCAGATGAGAAAATCATTTTAAGAATAGTTAATAGCTCACTTCTTTCAGTACTGAAGTACAGCACCCAGCTTGGTGAAGTATGCCAGTTATTCTGTATGAGGAGCCCTACTACAAAGCAGGTCAAGTGAACAATTTCTTTACCAATTAATGTAAGGGAGAACGTGAGGTAGGCCAGATTGTGCAAGACCAGACTGAATTTAGTCAGGATACTGGGACACCTACTCTACAGACATGTATGCCATGAGACCTTTAATAGGCAGATATTCAGGCGTTCAGTTTAACGTCTCATACGAAAGATCTTTCAGGGGGAAGAAGCTACCTCCTAGCCTACCAGCACTACTTACTGTAGCATCATTCTTTTTACTTGAAGTTTCCCATGCTCAGACCATCAGGTGTTTGCATACCCTATATTTTTCTGATTTTGAACTGCTATAGGAATTCAATCCCCAAACCCCTGAGAGTATGACAATGAGTACATCACTGAACTGAAATTCAAGCAATCGATTATAGTAAAGCTTGGTGTAACCTCCAGCTACAGTGAATTAAGTCTCAAAGATTATGGGACTCTGCCCAGTGGCAGAGGAGAAGTGCACGAACATACTGAACAATGTACTGAATATAGTCATTTATCCGGCATTTAAAAAAAAAGATAAATGCGAGCTAGAAAGACTGGATGTTAGAGCTTACTGAAATGCAGTCAGAGGAAACATTTTTTTCCTCTAAAAGCTTAATACACAACATAATCCAATTTTAAATTTCGGCCTAGAAAAAATGTAATGATATCCTGGAGGGTACAGATGATTTCTCCCAAACCTCTCTGACACAGATGCAGGTGGGGTGTAACCAGTATCAACCTACATGTTATAGAGTTTCTTGTAAGAGAGAGTGCTTTTGGGTTTTTATTTGACTATTGTTCTCGTGTTACTACCAATCTTAAAGTACATCATCTTTTACTCACTGGTCTGATGGTCAGGTTATTATATTTTTCAAGGTATGATTTTAAAATTACTTGGGTGCGTATATTTGCAGGAGTTGGTGAAACAGAAAGAAATATAGCTATATAATGTTTTACTAGTGCAAAACCTGCAAACATCCTGAAGGTAGTAGGAATAGGAATTCAGGGAAACACAAGTGTTTAAAATGGAGAATTGAGAAAATAGAGTATAGTTAAGGGGTGAATACTCAAATTGGATTGCTGTAATGAGAGGGGTACCACAAGGATCTGTCCTAGGACCAATACTCTTCTTAATATGTATCAGTGACCTGTAGTCTGCAAAAGGTAATAAAATTGAGGTGAGGTTTAATGGAGACCAGTGCTGGTTTTTGCATTCAGTTAGTAAAAATATAAACTAATAAATAGAAAGTGTGGAACACATAGAAAGTAAGATTTTTTTAAAAAAAAAGTTAAGTGATAATACTTCATTTCATTACATTATTTGCATCTTCTAGAAGAAACAACTAAGAAACTGTGAAGAAACAACTAAAAAGCAAAATGTGAGGATATCTCAGTTTAATTTTCTTAAACTTCTTCTCATTTCTTTCTCCAAATATATTGTCACTTTCTTGGTACTCAAACGTTCATTTTTGAATTGACTGGAAAATGTAGCTGAAAAAAACATCAAGCTTTTTCAAGTATTCATTGGAAATCTCATAGTTACGTTTTTGTTTATTGTTTTTAAAAAAGGTTTGTACCTATGTTTCTTTGTCTGGCCTTTCACTTCTGGAGATATGCCTCCTCTTCTATGTTTATTTAATAGCCTTCACGTGATTTTCTTTGTTCATTTATATCACTGCAACACTGGGGTTGTTATTTTTAAGGTTCAACCATTTTTAATGCTTTTTCAGTCTAAAATTTCCAATTTATATTACCAATTTATTTGTATGATACTTTTACAGTGGACAGCCATTTATATAGCCAAATATTTTACTGGAACATTCTGAATAAAATATTTGGATCAAAAGTACAATAGCAGTGCTATATATTTAGTTTTTTCTTTAATTTCTGCCTTATTTCTGACAGTTGATTCAGAGCAAGGCACCATGTTTTTGCTATACTAATTCCAAACCACCAGACACACTGTTTATCATTTAGGAGTGCTATGTTCTGTTATTTACGTGAGGACAATGATTTGATATATAGTATGCTTATTTGGTGACTACTAAAAGGAGGTACAGGAACTCAGTGGAACTGTTGTGTTACAGAGGGTTCAGGAAAAAAATGAGCCTTTAACCTTCCTCAGACAGGAAAACTGTGCTAAAAAATAAAAATAACTTATCTGTTTGCTAAAGCAGAAATGTTTTACGGAAATGTTGTACATTTTTGTCAATAAGGAACAGTGTAAATAGAAATATGAAATGTTTTTAGCTTTGCCATTTGAAATCAATACTTGCAATTCTACGGAACATGTGGTTTTCTTGTCTTATAATCTGCATTTGTATTGCAATATGGACTTTTCTAGAACCTATTTGTCAATGTAATTTTTATTGATTTAGGCCTGCATTATAACTATTCCAATATGTTTTGTATAGAAAAAGAGAAGAGTATTTTTGCTCACCTCTTAGGGTGAAATACTAGTACAGTATATAAACAGTAGCTTCACAATTACATACTACTTGAAATAAAGTTTAACACCTGACAAAAGCTGGTAAAAATTATTCAGATGGAGAACTGTTTTATTCTTAATGTCTTCCACATGTTATTGATTTTCCTGCTATCAGTACATACATTAAACATCAGTTAACATTCAGCAAAAAAATATGTTCAGAAAGTATAATGAATGTTATGAACAGAGAACTCCTAAGAACAGGGACATTTACTTTAATTTTTGTTTAACTGAATAAATGTTTATTTTTTTTACAAATTTATTTTAATTGAATTACAACTGCCACAATTGTTTGAGGAGTGAGAGCTTTAGAACATTTTCAACTGCTAATACTGTAAATGTCATTATATGAAGTTGAAACTATCATTGTAAATTCATTTTAAGAAACCTTCATTTCACTGTTTTATTTCTTTATGTAATACAGCAAAATAATAAGCCTGAAAGTCTCACCGCAAAGGTACATTTTTTTTTAACTTTTTAAAAAAGTGTTAGTTTCTTCAGTGCTAATTTAAGAAAAAATATATGCTGGTTTTCAGTGCTTTGTACAACCTTCCTTTTGTACAAATATGAAGAAGAAATGGTGCATAGCTCGGCTACAGGAAAAAGAAAAGATGATCACACACCTTTAGAGTCTTGTTGTGTCTCTGCAGCTCTCTGCACAAGCTCTCCAGCTTGCTGCGAGCCAAGATAGCCCTGCTGTGTTCACTCTGGAGCTGGTCTTTCTCTTTGGTGATCTGGACCTGCTTCTTCTGAAGGGCTTTGAGTTGTTTCTGCTCAGATCTGTGTTCCTCCAGCTGTGCGAAGTAAGGTGAAGATTTCAGAGACTACACACGTGTTATCTTTCACGTTTTGCATAAAGATCATAATCCATTTTCACCCCAAATGTATTCTATCAGATATTTCATCATTACCCAGATAAGTCAGTCAAAACTAATGAGTTTGTGTAGTGTCTTCCACTGAAGCTGCTGATATAGTAATTATCTTTAGACTGCTGTGTACAGTAGATAATCTCCAATAGTTTAAAAAGGAGAACATTTATCCTTTGAGAACACAAAACACATTTATTATGCTGATGCCCTGTGTTAATTAATCAGAATAACATGTATACTAATTAGTTTTAAATTCTTACATTTTAATGGAAAGGAGACATTGTAAGACATATTACAGTAAGGCACCTTCTTCATCACTGAGTTTGGTATTTTGTATAGTTCAACTGGTTCTCCTTTCAAAAATTATATTCATTTTCTATTTTAGTGTTGATTTTAAAAAGATCAAGATCTCTTTTCAAGAGAGACCTTCTCAAGAAGGCAGCAGCAATGCATTCAGAACATTAATTCCCAAATCAAAACAACTAACATGGTATGATAATAAATTGTATTGTAATTAAATGATCAATTTAATCAACTACTTTTCAAGACAGAAATTAGTTTTTAAAAATTGTATATTGTATAAAGTCACCTATCTTGTCCTTAAAACCTTTAAGTAATTTCAGATCTGAAAAATATTAGGCCATTCTGAAGGAGCAAAATAACTAAAATGCTTGTTTTCCAAATTCTGTACATATCCTCTGAACTGTAAACTGTAATATGGACTTAAATCTTAATTGACAAGAATTGTCCCAGTAAAGTAATATACCTTTCATTAGAACCGCTCTATGCCCAAAGGAATGTTAGTGCTTCAGTCTGTGATACAAGTTATGTTAGAGTATGTAGAAGCTAGATCTTGTTAAGGAATTCAATTTGAATCCTAAACTATAACTGATAAGTGTGTAGTAAGACCAAAGATGTCTGAGAAATGGTATCCAAATACATACATAATACCTGTTTCATTTGGGTGTACTCTGTACACACAGTATTCCTCAAGTAAGAAAATGTACTGTCTATATTACTACAATGCTAGCCTGCTATTATGGAATAATATATTTCAGAACTATACTGTTGTTCTGCAATTATGCCAAGACTAAAATAAAACTTTTAGTTACTCAAAAGCCAATAGTTCCAAATCAATCATAACAGTAACTAATACTCATGGGATTATGACTTATTAATCATAACTCATTAAACATTCTATAGGATGGTTTATACCCTACAATTGCCCCAGAAACACACATTGTTATATTTTATTTTGAAACTATTCAGGCTAAATCGAACATTTTTTCTCCTACATAAGAGAAGGTACATATGTACACAAATGTACTGTCCATAAAGGAGTGTTAAATATCTCTTACATATTATGGGTTGTGGAACCATTTTGTCTTCAAATGCATGATAGTTTGGTATAATTAAAATGTAAAAAAGCCTGATGAGACACCTTGGGCTTTAAAAGTTATAAATAATTTCACAACACCAGAAAGTATGTGTTTCATATTATTAACCTATATTAAATAGAATCATTACTTCATTACAGGTTTCTGTAGGTAGGCTACCTTCATTGTAAGTTGAATTTTTAATGAGGTTAGAAATTAGAAAAAAAAACTTCTGTATCTAAATTGTGCAGCACATTTGCTTGAGTTTTCATTTTTAATTTCTTACTTTCTTTAGAGCCTGCGGTGCTGAAAATTTAGGTCATTTCAGCACAAGCTGAACTACTTGTAACAGCTTGGCAGACACTCTTATTACCCTTTTGTTATTTTTATTATGCATGTACATTTTTGCTGTAAGAATGAGCCTTTCCTACCCACAAATACAGTAAGTTAACTCACCAGTTCTGCATACTTCTTGAAAAGTGCTTCCAGCTTCTCCTCTGGAGTATTCAGCTTATTCAAATTTTGCATTAGCAAAGTGGCTTCCTTTCCTTTTAAGAAAGAAATCATCATGCAATTTACTAGTGTGTTGTACAAAAGACATATGGGAGAACCCCATTTTTCTGGCTTAAAATAAAATGAATAGGACAAAAGATGGACATCTCCACATAAGAGTATTTATTTTTTGCATATTTGGTACTCATTTCCTAGACCATACATTTTTAATTGAACAAACCATAATATTTATCATTTAGGATTCAGCAGTATCAACTAATGCTTCTTCAATTTTCATTCCAGTTTCCAGCCCAAAAGCTTTTGTATTTAATTCTGAGCAGTTGGTGCTGTGAGTTGTGTTTGATAAAGCATAACCTGATAACTTGCCACACACCTGTTTTGGCTCCATGTATTTTATTTTAAATTCCCTTTGCATGACTCAAAAGAAAATCACTTTTAAAGTACGATTAAGTGATTATTTTCTTTAACAATCATGAATTATTTTAAATAAAATTTAGTGCAAGAGGTGAAAAAAAGGATTGCCAGTCAGAGATATCAAATGCCTTTAGTCTTTTTTTCTAATTTAGCTAGTTTATGTCTGGAAAGGTGTGCAGTGTACTGGAATGGTACATATTTATATTTGTTATAAAATAGGAAAGGAGAGACATTTTAAAGGACCATGTACTAAGGAGATTAAGTGTATTTTCTCATAAAAGGAATTTTGAAAAATGTGCAATGGGTAAGCATGCAACATCCGAACAGACTTATCACCCCCTGTAATTTTGACAAATACCCTGTCAATTGATTTCTCTTTGAGTTATGACTCAACCACAGAACTCCCAAGGGTCCTTCTAATATACAGCTCTGCACTACCTCCACAGTAATTTCTGTCAGATACTAATAGATTACCTATAGCAGGGCTGGCTGAAATAAATGCAGCCTGACTGAAATACAGAAGTATGGTTTGCCTTGGAAAGAAGATTTTTTATTAATAATTAATATACACATAGTACACAAAAACAGACATTGTGGGAGAGGTAGTTAATAGATTAAACACTGAAAAATCAGAATTTTGTTTTGTATGTGATGATTTGATAGTAGATGAATATATAAAATGTGCAGACTAGAGGTTTCTCTAAAAATATTTTACCTTTCAATATCTCACAGTTGTTGAAGTATGTGGAACATAGACAGTGCAAGGACATTAAAATACTTTTTACAAAGGACAGAAGGAGTTATTTGTACAGGTCAACACATGGCATTACCAGGTTAGCCAGTAGCAACAGGAGATGAACCACCAACTGTTAGATAAATAGAGGCAAACAAGAAATATACTGCTGCAGGAAGTGCAGACACGTGCCTGAGCAAAAAGGGACAACATATTTCAAGTCTTATCCTAGAAAATCCGTTCCTGCAAAAGATGACAGAAAGAGATGATGCATAAGCTTACTTTTGCACCTTTGAAAGGGTGGTAGATCTCTTCTTATGCAGGAAGCACACAAAATACACCATGACTTTAAACCAATGGATGCATGTAACTAAGAAACTAAGAGCTACGAAAAGAGTTTTTCGTTGACTTTCAGCAGTTCAGATGCTTTCCTGACTTCCTATAGTCATGAGAGTTGAACAGATTCACACCTGATGTGTCAGTCTGGTGGTATTGGCCACACACAAATGTTTGCCCTCATCCATCTTGCTAAAACATGGTGGCAGCCTGAGCCATTGTCCTCTGCTGTTATATGGGAATATGTGGTGGTGTTATTTAAGGAGACTTCCATTTGAAAAAGGGAAGAAAAATGTGAGACAAGGAAACCTCACCATCATGTACTAGATTGTGGAAATAGTGGAAGTATGACAAGACTACTACACAACTGCTGAAGCTTAACCAAACGGAAAAGCTGGGTACATCCTGATCCTACAGACAGGAGGTACTGTACGTGGGAAAACAAAATATCCTCAGCAGTAGCCCCTAGAGAAAGAGAAGCCAGAGAGAAATTGAAGTAAGAGGGGAAAAGTAAGACTAGGAGGTATACTCAACAGAGTACAGAAAAAAAACAAACAAGTTTCAGGACAATTACTGGTGCTTCAGCCATTATGAAGAATTGTTTTGGACATAGTCCATTATCTTGTTGTGTGGGAAGACACTTGAGATTGGAACAGACAAAAAAAAGAATTTGGGGAAATATTGTCACTTTTCTCTGAATACCAACATACAGTGCCCATACCATTGTTCTGTATCCCATTGGTGCTCCAGCCCATCAATCTGAAAGTGATGGACTAGAGGGTCCTCTTGTGGAGTTTACATATAGGCATTGGTGTAGCATGATGAAAGCTGATTATGCCATATGCTACACATGCTATATGGAACATGTTATTAAAGAAAATACCTGAAGATCTGCTGCAGATGTTTAGGATACTCCGAATATATTAAAAATATAAGGGCACCCTGTTTATGTCAAGAGTGATGTAGTTCTTACTTTGTGCGTCCTGATGTGCATGGAGAAGCTAAGAATTTCAGTATATTATACACAAATGGATGGAATGGTAGAGAGGTTAAAAAAATCTCAAGGAGGGTGTAAAGAAAGTAACTGGGAGCAGTTTGCCATAAGAGTGGTACTGTAAATCAGGTCACTACAGAGACATAGCCATTCCACTGGACATATCCAATGAACAATGGAATCAACAGGTATACCCACACTGCAACCTGGTGAAATGAGGGGGTCAGAGGTAAGCTCAAAGCACCATTTACATTCAGCCTGATCAACAAAGTGATTTGCAGTCAGTCAGAGGACTGAGAATTGGTTCTGGTATCCACCGATGATAACAAGTTCACGTTCAACTAGAAGGGGCACTTTAAAGTCCTAGAGCCAAATAGGGCCATTCCACTAAAAAATCTAATGCTCTGGAAGAAGGAGGACATAGCAAGTGTACCAGTCAATCACCTTAAGAGGTGATTTAATCAAGAGATTCTATTTAGAGAAGTGATTGCTAGGAATGTAGTAGGGAATGTAATGAATTTGAACTCACCCCAAATCAAATGCAGGAAGTGAAGATACTGATTGGAAGGACCTTTGAGGTGTTGATATTAACATTCCACAAGGGAAGGTATTGAAGAAAAGGACCTACAGTACAGAGTCCCTGAAGCCTGGAATGAAGCCTTGTGATAAAATCTACAGGACATGCTGGAGCTAAAACTAATCGAAATGTCCCTCAGTTAATAGTCTGGTCCTGCAGTGCTAGTGCCTAAACCAGATGCAGTTTTGCAATGACTTCCTCAGGCTAAGTGAAACATCCACATTTAATGCTTACCCTTGCCCAGGGTGTGAAGAGTCAGCAAAGAGACTGACTTGGGAAAGTCAGATTCTTGTCTACCCCTGGACTTGACTAAAAGCTACTGGTAAATCCCACTACAGAAGAGTGTTAGGGAAAAACAAAAACAGCATTGCTTTTCCTGATGGACTGTATCATAATATCATGTTGCTGTTTTGACTTTGTGGTTCACCTGCCACCTTCCAGAGACTCATGGACAAAAAACCCTAATGAAGCACACAGGCTATGCCACAGTATACTTATGTAATGTGATTAAGGTACAACCACTGATGGATTTTATACAGGATGCCAAATTGGCTGCCAACTCAAAGAAATGTGTTCTTAAAGCCAGTGAAGTCAAGTACCTAGAATATACAATACAATTTTGATCAGGCTGCAGGAAAAGAAAGTAGAAACCATCAGGAATTGGCAAAGACCAGTGAAGGCTTCAGTGAAGACAGGTCCAAGCCTTCATTGGATTGGCTAAATTCTATCATACATTTATTAAGAGTTTTGTCAACTTCTGCAGTGCCCCTTGATCTTACCATGAATAGTAAACATCACATAGTCTAATGGAATAAATTTATAGAAAAATCTTTTCAGCATCTTGAAGAAGGCACACTGCTGACCCAATGAGGATGACCCTGGACTTTGAGAATAAAACAGTGGCACAGGTGGATGCTTCTGAGAAAGGGCTGAGGGTGCTTTTATGAAGGGTTTTCATATTTGAACATTAAAAAAGAGGACACTCTGCTGAGAGGGAGGAGATGGATATTTATAACAGTATCTATTAAATACTTCGGAAACCGGAATTATGTCTTCTGCAGTGTTTAGAGACAGCAATGTTAAATATGGATCTCTTGAAGAAATGCTACTGTGCAAACTACAGGATTAGTTAGAAAACTGAAATTAAGGCTGTGGCTGAAACCGAAGTGGAGGCTTGGGAAAAATCCTATTAGTTCAGAACAAAAACTGAGTGGGGCAGCAAACAATCTCTCCGTTAAATGATCAACACACTCTTAATCCCAAGATTAAAATTTTATACCTGCAACATTTGAGTGAAAAGAAAATGGAAAACATCCCAGATATTTTAAAAACAGGAAGGGAAATAAATTCTTATCCTCTGTCTTGGCTTCCTTATCAAATGCTTTGATGTCTTGAGACCAGATTTGTTTGGTTTATCAAGAAAAAACATTTTCTTGTTTTTCTTTTTGGAAACAATTATCACTGTGTTTGTAATTCTGATGTTTTACCCCTATGCAATCATGAAAATAGTATCTAAGTGGTTAAAAGGGGAGGAGAAACTGTTATTTTTTCAAACATAAGGTAAATAACAAGCAAAAAACAATGAAAATGGCAAATAAATTGCTGAGGATAAAATGTAAGCCATTTATTAGTTACCACTATTAGCTGTGATTATGTCTTTTTCGTATTTAAATATTGTTACAAATTTGCTTTTACTGAAGTGTGAAAGGGGTCACTAAGTTGTAATAATTAAGTCACTGCTGATATAAATTGAAATAATTATATTATTGTCAACCCAAACAAGTCTTTTGTCTCTTGAAATATAGCACAACAGGACTTTAACTAAAAACCTGAGTGTTAAAGCAAATTTACAACTCACTGGCTTTAGTTAAAAAACACTTACCCAGGCCTTTGATGATCTTCTTCTCCAGCTTCTGTTCTTTGCTTGAATCTGTGTCTTTGGCCACAGTGACCTCTGCAGCAACAGATTGCTCCTCATTGCTCTCCTCAGTTTCCCCCTGACTCAGGGATTCTCCTTTGTCAGCATCTTCAGCCTCCCTGCCGGCAGATTGCTGTTCCACTAAGCTTGATGCTGATCCATATGTGTTAATGATGTCTTCCAGCTGTCGCCCGAGCTCTTCCGAAATATCACGGTCGATCCTCTCGAGGTTAGATTCTTGAACCAGGTCCTTTAGTTCGTCTTTCTCCTCCCTATCTGTCCCATTGATTCCTGGTACTGGGGTGTCACTGCTAGCAACACAGGTAGTCTGTGGCTGGTCAGTTATGGGTTCGGAGGGCTTGATAGTATTTTCCATTCTTTCTATGTAGCTGAATGGGTCAAAGCACAAGGTCAGTTGGGGTTACCTACACCCCCTTAATACAAAACCAACATGTACATTGAAGAGGTCCTCTATCACTTAACTCAGTGGTTCTCAAACTTTTTGGACCAAGTAGCACGCATTCCTATAGAGTGGTATAGAATTACAGAGTATCTCGTGTCCACTGAAGTATTATCGCGCACTGTATCGTAGATTGTAGGCTGAAATATGAAAACCCGTCCCGATTTTTCAGCGCACAGGACACAGTTCCAGGGTCATTTGGCGTACCACCTGGCGGCACTCCGCGTACCACTGCCGGTCCGCGTACCACAGTTTGAGAACCACTGACTTAACTGATACACCTTTGAGTGACATTGCTCCACTTTTGCTGGTGGTCAACATCCTGGGTCCAGGTCTATGTGCACAGCAACAAAATGCAACCAGCACTTTAGCATTGTCACACAATAGTGAATACAACATTAACTGTAAATGTATTGTTCAGTGGTTTCATTCAGCGTACAATTCATAGCTTTGTGCAAGAAGAGCTGAGTCTTGCCATATAGGCAGAAGGGTTCTGCAATGAACCTAGATGAATGCTTCAAATGTTAAAAACCTAGAATCACGTCCTGCAACTTTTTTTGTATAGCCTTTTTGGGAACTCTGCCAAGCTTCCATCATACACCCACACAACTGGTGTCTGGTTTCTGTGGAGATGATTGATTTCCATTCTATGCTACAGAATATTGGACACATATAACTGCAATCACTCTCCAACTGAGAACATCATAATCTTATGATTCAGTTTTCAAAGAAAGTCAGCCTGCATCATACAAACTGCTAACAGAACTGCTTTAAACTAGTAACCCAAATAATGGACAATTCACATCCGCAGCAGTATAAGAAGAATATATTTTGCATGCTAGAATCAATACAAGAGGAAGTTATATACACTATACCATGACTAGCGTACAAGCCCTCTATATAAACATTCTCAGACATTGAGTGTGTTTTAGTAAGACTTGGTATATTTATGTTATGACCCCAATTCATAACCTAGTTTTCAGCATTTGTTTATAGTCTTTGCAACAAAGTAGAAATAATTCAGGTCAGTTAGGGAGTGGATAAATTAATTGAATGATTTCCCTTTAAAGTACTATTTGTAATGCATTGTACTTTTGTTTAAAATAAGATAAATTGGGGGTTAAAAATCCTGCTCAGGCCTCAGCCATGATGATTTACTAATATTAACTAAACTGAAAGGGAGGGATTTATGATCAGTAGAGTAGATTTTCCCTAATGTTAATGACACTTCCTTAACACTTGCAAATCAGGTTGTGACTTTCTTTGGAGTTACATTGAAAACTCAATAACCACTAGATGGCGGTGCAACAGCTAAACAAGACTTGTCAAACTTACAAGTAATAGGTTTATTCCATGCTGAAAAAAAGAAGAAAGAGAACACAACGTTTCGGCCGTGGAGTCAATAATGTGGGAAATCTCAGTAAATACATTTTTAAACCTAGTATTAAATTAAATATGATTCAAATGCCCTTCACCAAATATTGAATAAAGGAAATGAAGCTTGCAGAGTAAAATAATTATAAATTAATTAATTCCTATTGTTTCTGTGGTGTGACAAAATCTACCAAAACCAGTGGCAATTCAAATTAATAAGTAGCTATCTCACACTTTAATTTCATTGTACAACATCCAGTCAGAGAAAACCTCCTTCATTTTAGAGCTTTTATCTTGTAACACTATATTAAGATAATAAATGGTAGTTTTCAGTGTGGGTTACATTGCCTGAATTACATTCTTAAAAAAAGCTAAAAAATATATAATTTCAATAGATTTTAGCTTTTGCATAGTTCCTAGTGCTAGATTACATAATTCTCTTAAAAGGTATAAATCGAAGAACAATGATGAGACTTTATCTGTAAGACTAGATTTGCTAGGCTGAATTATAGGCATGTTTTGATTTTTAATATTAATTTCTGTATAGTATTTAGATTCTGCTTCTGGTAGGATTTCTCTCATTGAACAAGTATGAGGAGAGGATCCAGATGAAAACCATGATGGTCCAGAAGAAGACCAGAAGAACATTGTCCAGGACAGGAATTATTGAAAACACCTCCAGAGCCAAACCTAAGGGTAGTGCTCCCTAGCAACTGCCTGGTCGCTAAGTTCCCCACATGACCTAGCTGGACTCAGTCTGAAAGGGCTATATAAAGCTCTCATCAGACAAAGGGTGAGGGTGGGTATGATGAGAATGGAGAACAGCTTTAGAATGTATTGTAATGTCACTGCTCTTGTGGAGAAGACGTTTGAAGTCTCTGACTAGACATATTTTGGTCTCACCTCCATTCATAGCATTGGTTGCAGAATCAAACTTTTCAATTGAGGGACATGTCTTTCCTACTAAAAGTTACCCTAGGTGTCAATGAGGATGTGGAGATACTCACAAACAACCCTTGGCTGCTATACTGTTGGAGTTTATAACATAAATGAGAGGATCGCCTCAATGGGACTTCTCAAAGGTTGCAGAGAAGAAACTTGGAACTGTTGTTGTTGACTAATTGCAATTCAAAGTATTCAACCTTCTTGGAGATAGTGGGCTCAGTGTTCTGTAGGATGCTATCAACAAACTCTGGACAAGAATTAATATTCTGGAGACTCAAGTAGAGAGAGGGGCAGAGATGTCAACTGATCACCATTTAGTGGTGTGCTGGATCTGATGATCTGGTGGATGAGCTCAAGCAAAAATATTTCAGCTCCCACCTCTAGAAAAACTTTTCTGATAGCATGTGGTCAGCTTGTGGGCTGGAGTGGCTTAACAGTGTTGTACGTGCTGTGCAGTGGTGGTAACGTGGGTGGTATATTCTCAAAGCATTGTTGATAAGTTGATTTACTAGATCATGAATCTGGTCATGAACTCTGGGTAACAACTGAACATAAGATCATGGAAATCTCAACACTGACCCAAAACACACTGGAGGGGCTTTAAATTCAGTTTAGCTTTGACATGCTTGGGGATTCACACAACAGGAGCTGGAATCTGTTGTGGTGGAAAAAGATGTCTGGTCCTCGCTGCTTGGCATGATGCCATAGATCCATTGAAAATGGATAGACGGAACTGTTAAATTAATATTGACCCAAAGCGTCATTGCCCTTATATTGTACTGGGTATGAATGAAGGGTACTTTTAATAAGAGCTTTGCTAATTACAATAATTAATAGATTAGAGTGGGGAGCTGCGTCAGAGTGCTAGCTGCAAAAAAAATAAGCTTGGTTAAATGCCATCCAGAAAGCTAAAAAGGTAAAAAGCAACATTTCAATTGTGAAATCCATACACTTGAACACTCTCCACAGTTGAAACAGTGATGTTTTACTATTCAGTGTGGAATTAATCTTTAATTGTTGTATGATTATTAGAACTAAGTTTCATGATTTAGTTCTGTACTTTAATCAATGCCACATCTTTATATATTCTGTGTTTTATCCACAAGCTAAGCAAATGAGTGATAAACAGCAGTTTTTAATGCATCTGGGCATTATAATAATATTTAAGATCTGTGCGCTTAGTCAACCAATTGAAAAATACATTTAATAAAGTATTTAGTGTTCTCATAAAGCAGACCTATAAAATTCGAATAAATCTAGAAACCCATCACATTTAGGCACCAGACAAATGCCACTTGGACCAATGAAACATAAAAACATCTACTGAACATTGCAAAGACGTTTCATTTTGTACTCCAAACCCAGAACAGAAGACTTGTATGCTAGGGCGAAGAGACATTGTTTTCACTCATAAAGCCACAAACATCTGAGTGTTTTTTTAGTGAGCTGAATCACTTGACCACTTTCAAACTGTCCCTGAATGCTCCTTAACCAAAGTTAGCAAGTGATTAAGCAAATTTGACACTTTTACTGGAGATTTTCACTAGATGATGCAAGTTTGGAATCTGTTAGGGATTTTTACTATTATAGAATCTCTCTTTAGTTTCTCCTCAAATGAATCACAGTTTTGAAACTTCAAAACTGAGGGCAAACTGAGGATTCAGTGAGAAGACATTAGATGATGACAGCGCAGATGACAGAGATCATCTGCAGTGTCCACTTGTGTGACAGTCTATCAAAACACTGTAACTTCTTCCTGCTCGATCTATAATGTCACAAATATACAAGAAAATGGCCTGATTGACAGAGGCCTTTATTGTTTTGATGTTTCAAACTAGAGGAACTGCAATCATTCCAGAAAGTATCTCTTGATTATTCCGCTTCACGACTGACCCTCCCTGTCAGGATAAAATTAGCCTCCATTCCCTCCTCCCCCCTCTTCTTCCATCAAGCAGGCACATGGCACCTGTTCTGAAGCCAGGGGCTATTTTGGGAATTTCTAAATACGGTCAAGCTATTTCTTATTCCCATCACGTCTCTGTTGGTATCAGTATAGGTCTTCCTGTATACATGGGTAATTGAAAAAATAAACAGACAAGCCATATAAATTAGGTTTTACTCTCCTACATTTGTATAACATTATTTTGTATTAATTTATATATTTAACTAATATGTTGTGAAACAAAATTTTAAGTTATGTTAACAGAATTTTCCATTTGATTAAAGCCTAACAATGTAGTTTCATGATTATCGGCGTATTTATGCTCAATGTGAATGTAATTGTTCTACTAATCATGGATAATAAATATTTTATCTAACTTGTGAAGTTATGTGAGAAAACTCCCTTCACCTCCCAAAGATAAAATACCAGAATTATATGTCAAAATACATTATGTTTTTTTACTACAGTAATCATAAGACTGGTGTATACTTTATGTTTTAGAGTCATTTGTCAACACTTTGTAACTAAGAAATTGAAATGCATATTTTATGCCACATCATGAATTTCATGAGTCATGTCACATGAAATGAACAACCAAAAGGCTCTTCTTCTAAAATTTTAAAAAGGTTTAATAAGTCACCGTAAAACCTTGTAATAAAGCCATATTGTAAATTTACGTCATAAAAGTACTCTTCATGACCTAATAAATGTTTCACTTCTGCTAATAGTGAGCTATACTTTTTTCTACTGAGTGTTTTAACCTCACTTCTAAGTTCTATTATTTCAATAATTATTAGTTTTCAATGCCAGGTCTAAATAAGAGTCACATTGGTCTTAGACATCTTTTAGACATCAAAAATTGCATTGGAAGAAGGAGAACCTAGGTAATCACACCAGTTAAGTCTGTGTTCAAAGCTAAGCACACATGGCTTAACTGTGGCAAACAGCTGACCCAAAGACTCTTTTCTCATAAACTTACAAAGTCATGCCATCTTTAATTATTGAACTCATAAAAAAAAGCAACAATGCCTCGACCCACATAATCAAAGTGAATGATACAATCATACGGCACTCATAAGGGAGCTGATACTTACCACAACGAGCCAGGAAGAAGGAGAGTCGTGAAGAGGGCTCAGTGACACAGCAGATGTAAAGACAACAACTGTGTGAAGCAAACCCCCAAAATAACCTCACAGGATACAGCTCACACCAATGGAAAGGGAGTTTTCACACAGGGGGGGAAAATGCAGGGCCTTTTGACCAGTATGTGAAGCAGAATAGAATCAATGTGCTACATAAGGAGACAAACCTTAGAAGGCTACTTACCTGCAAACAAACCCTTGATACTTCCTTTTGTGTCAGCAATACAATATGGGAACTGTAATTTACAAAAACAATACTCAGATCTGACATTTCCAGTCTTAGAGATGTACTCTTATGAATGGAATTAACAAATGAAAAACATCAATCCACTATCCCTCCAATTCAACTGGGATAGCATCTCCAATAGAGGGAATAACATGCAGAAGGGAACTGATACACAGATGCACAGAAAAAAAAGCCTCTGTTGAGAGTCTTCTGCAAATATGCACACTTCAGCTTGTCTCTTACCATCACATGTCATTTGTCCATACACCTCTCACAGGTCCTGTCAGGTCCTTGTCAGTTCATTTTCACACGTTTTCTATTATGTCTGCAGGGTTTACCATAAGATTAGCCTCAGCGAAGTGTTGTTTGTGCTAGAACCTCAGGGGCAAATGTTATTAAGGTACTGGCTGTTGTGTGAAAAACAAAGTCAATTTGAAATGAGGAGTACTATGCACAAAGTGAACATTGTTTAAATGTAAAGGTACTAGTTTTCCAGGTAGCATCTAAAAAACAGCCTCATTAATATATTGAAAAGTATTCATGGCAAAGCAATGGACAGAAATAAGATGGAGTGAATAGAATAGTTTTAATGTGTCTTCCAATTATGTTTTCCTTCTTAACATACAGTATACAGTAGTTGCAATATGAATAAAAAGACTCAGAGGAATACATGAAAGTTTGGTGTTCACCTGTGTTCACATACTACATATGTCAAGAGTTTAAGAATAAAGTGCTCTAGATTATTTTTGTTGATATTGTTGTGTTCCTGCTATTCAATCCATTAACTGAAAAGTATATCAGAATTCCAGAGAACATTCAGACATTTACATGAGAACGGCTTGCATTTGTAAAATTCAGATGCTTGGATGCTATGAGAAACATAAAAAGTAATGTATGTTACTGAATAAGACTGAAACAAAAGAAAAGTAGTAAATCAGATTATGTGGCTTCCACTACTGCAAAGCAAATTTATTTGGAATAATGGTCATGTGAAGTGTGGGGTGGGGGCATGCTGATACATTCTCCAAAAAATGTTTACAGTTTAAAACTAGTGAAAATCAGAACATACTTTTATGTATTATTAGAGGCTAATAGGTATCTGAGTAAACAGAAAGACTGAGAATAAAGGACATGTTGTTGGCTCCTGTGATAATTTAATCTTGTGCTACCAAAATATGAAAATGACAGGAGACCAGTAGGCCCATCAGTTCTTAAATGATTCACAGCAGATAATTGCTGCCAAGATATATATATATACCGATAAACTATAATAATTAAATTTTACACAATTGGAACACCTTAAATTAATCCCTTCTACGGACACTGCATTTATAAGGGTTATGTATAATGAACTTAACATGGGTTTTGAAGCTTAATTATTTTTATTTTCCTTTTATGTATGTGTACATTTGCAATGAAGAAACATTTTGACTATATATGAACATTTTTAATGTTTTTGACATTCTCTGAGGAAGTGTTTTTAGAGAAAAGCATAGAGCATTCACCTTTTACTACATAAAAAAAACTTTAACTGTTTATTTGAAATTGTGACACTTCAGAAACTGTTAACAAAAATGGAAAATAATTAATTAATGGAAATCTGCACCACCTTTCTGTATATACATCTTGGCAAAATTGTAACGAAAGCGTTCTTTCCGGACCCTATGCAGATGACACAATCCGGGGATAAGTGAGGAAAACACGAGGAAAAAAGCATGCAGGAGTCAGGAATGAAAACAGGGGGCGTGTCCATGGTGCTCTGGTGTTCGGGGGAGGTGTGGCCGAGGCAAACAATCCAAAACAGAGTCCAAAAGGTGAATCCAAGACGGGGCAAAAGTCCAAAGCCAGGCAATCCATCCAAGACAGATGGGACCGGCACGGGAATGGGAACAGAAACAGAAACTAAAACCTTGACGGGACCAGGCGCTTCCAGATCATTGCTTCCAGATCATTGGTTCCCATACCAGACTTGTCTGGTACAGGAACCAATGCAGAGCCCGGAAGAGAGTGAGCGCCCGGCTTTTATAGGACAAGGGGCAGGAGGCAGGTGCAGGGAATGAGTATTGAACAAGGAAGGGCTGGAGCGTCCTTTAGAGGAATGGGTTACGATCGTGACAATAATTTTGTGTTTTAAAGCAATTTTTTCCTCCCTACAAAATTCATTCAATATTCTTATAACTGTGGTTGGATTTATATACATTTTGTATATTTGCTGTTTTATAGCCAAATAAGTGTAAAGGTATATTTGATGTTAAATTGCACCTCTACTGGGAGATAATATTCCCAATGAGTCAGATGGGGAATTTACTGCACTGAGTGCAGTATCTGGATTGTATGATGTAAGGCTTGGAGCAGCTGGAGAGAACCAACGTGTAAGATCGACTTCAGTTAAACAAGCAGAAGTGTAAAATGTTTTACAAATCTTTGTGACTTTAAAAGAATTGTTTAAATGTCCTGTTGTCAGATGTTAGTGAAACAATGCAGTGTGGAGGTCAGGAATATAGTATCATAGAAGGTTGTTTTCTGTTAAACTAGAATATTCTTCATTGTTTGGGTTTTCCTTACTATGATATCAATCCAAAAAGACTGTAGACATTTCTTCCTCCAAGCCCTGAATTTAATCAATTCATATGACATCAGTCAAGAGGAAATAATCATTGCAGAAAACTGCACTGTGGCCTCTGAAAATCTGGAGCGACTTACAAATTTGTGAAGTGAAAGTATATATTGATCCATATAAAAAAAAACTTTCAGATTGAATCCTTTTGTAAATGTAGTGTTAGTTCCTTTACACTCTCAGAAAAACAAAATGTGTCCAGCTTGTCATGTACAGTTAGACTGATTTTGAGAAAATCCGAAAAGCTAAAGTCCCTCAATATTTCAAACCTCAATATTTTCAAGCTTTTCAGCAGTGACAAAATAACCAAAGGACACAAATGGAAACTAAGGGGAAATGCTTTTAAAGTTGAAAACTGGAGGCACTTGTTTACATAAAAGGTTGTGGGGGTGTGAAGCAAGTTCCCCAGTTATTTTGTCAAAGTTAATACAATCACTTCTTTCATGAAGTGGCTGAATTTGATCCTAGGATCAATTAGCTATTAACTAATGGGCTAGATAGGATATGTTTCAAAACATCATGGTATGTTCATGTACTCACTTTCATTTAATTAAATTACATAATTCACACACAGTATTGCACAGTACTGTAGATGGTGTATTCGCTAACGTGCAAATCTGTATAAAGAAGTACAGTCCATCTGAAGAACCTACAAATGCATAATATGTCATAATACATATGTTATTTAGATATGACTGACATAAGTAATAAAATAATACATTTGTTTAATTAATGATGTGTCTGGTAGGCCTTTAAATGATAGAATAATAAGAAAATTGGTAAGCCTTTTGTGTAAAAATAGTATTAGAAACAGCACTGCATCTTACGAAAATAAAGTAACATAGCTATGGAAACCACTAAGAGAAACAATGCTTGTGCTTGGTGTCCGTTACCAGACTGTTTTAATTAATAGAATGTCTGTCAGCCTGGTGCAGTGTAATTAACTGTGAAAAGATTGTCAGGATTGCAGTTTAAAATAACCCAGTAAACTCTGGCTAGAACTATCCATCATTTTTAGTTTAATCTAGTCCTGCGTGTTATTTCTCACAAAAGACAAAACCGCCTAAAATGAAAAGGACTGTTGTGGGCAAGCTTTGAAACAATCCTTGATTTTGTGCTGAAGTAGATTCAGTCAAGCTGAGAGACTGATAGGACTGTTGGTGCTGACCCATTCGTCCATGCAGTGACTCAGAGCACAAGGGACAAAGAATCTCCACACAATGAAATTCAGTCTCTCAATCCCTTCATTGATTTATCCCATTCCCCATTCACCTATACATACAGTGACCCCCATAAGTGACTGTACAATTACAGCTAATTTTAAATGTGTTACAATTAAGTCAGAGTAAAATTAATGACTACTTAAAATTTCAAAAACACCAAATGGTTCAACTGGCTATCACTCTGTAACTAGATTTAATGCAAGCAGCTTTTATTTATATTATATTGTTTATAGCACTTCATTAACTATATACTTTTCTTTAAGAATTTCATTCATAATGATGTTTATGTAGAAAAAATGATTAATATAGTTCTGTATGTTTATAAATGGTTATATTATTCCACGTTCCCTTACTGTGCTTTTACAATTTGCCTGTTGACAGAGATATACTCATTAGAACAATTAACAAAATGCAAAACTGTAACTACTCAACTACTTGACCAATGCTTTGATAAATATTTTTACTGTTTCTTTCTTTTTTGCCTTTTCATTTTACCAAATGCATCCTTAAGATTTATATAATGCTTTTTAATTGAACAATTCTTTTTGAATATTTATAAACAGTACTAGAGAGTAAGATCATGGAATGAATACCCCTAAAGAAAATTGAATAGGCCAATTTTCAATATGGCTCAACTTTAGCAAATCCAAATTACAATTGTTTCAAAATTTATACTCAGTTATTTTTTATTTGGAATTTTTTTTTGTAATTGCCAGATAGTTTTCAGTGACTTGAATTTTGTTTCTATCTTACATCTTTGGGCTTTGAACAACAAGCGTTGCAACTTGAGGGAGTAATACAGAAAATGGTGAGAGCATAAGCAGAACTCGGCTTCTTCTTAAAGAAAAAAAAATATTGGGTGAACAGAGTAGACCACCAAATGAAGATGTTGATTAAAAATCAAGACTGTATAAAATTAATATTTAATGTACAAAGAAGTAGATTTTATGGGAGCCTTCAATCTTCCCACATCGACAGAGAAAGATC